AGAAAGTCTGGGCAGTCAGAGCCTTGCCTCGGGATAGAATGGGATTCCAGAGCTTTCGTGGCTAGCACAGCAGACCGGTAGTTGACTTTGTAGTTCTGGGTAGTAAATTGTGGCTTGGAAATGCGGGGACTGGGGGTTTACCTCTTGCATTTGCATGTTACATTCCGTTATTTATTTCTTTTTTTGTCACCTTAGTTTTGTCTTGAAAGGATCTGTGTCAAACAGTTGCAGACTAGTCACCATCAGGCAACCCGGAAATTTGTCCTTGGGGAGCTACTTAGGCAATCAGATGCTGACTTAGGTTGTTGTATAATCAGGAAGTCTGGTTCTAATCTTAGCCTTGCCACTGTTGTGCTCCTTGCTGCCCGGAGTGTGGTCTGTGGAGTTGCAGCATTACCTGGGAGCTGGTGAGAAATACAGAATCTTGGGCCTGCCTAGACCTGTGAATGAGAAGCGACGGCTTAGAATCCCCAGGTAATTTATCGGCACATTAAACTTTGAGAAGCTTAGTGGTAAACTAAGTGGTAAACTCTGGGAGGGCATGGGCATTTTCTAGTTTTTTATTTATTATTTTGTGGCCCCAGTGCCTATCTGAAGTTTAACACACAGTAGCTGCAAAATCCTTGAGTCTTCCTCTGACCTTGGGCATATTTGAACTTCTAGGAACTTTGTAAGCATCGAGGGCAGGCGTCCCCAAACTTTTTACACAGGGGGCCAGTTCACTGTCCCTTAGACCGTTGGAGGGCCGCCACATACTGTGCTCCTCTCACTGACCACCAATGAAAGAGGTGCCCCTTCCTGAAGTGCGGCGGGGGGCCGGATAAATGGCCTCAGGGGGCCGCAGTTTGGGGATGCCTGGTCTAGGGACTTAACTGTAAAGTGACATATGGAGAGGGGAGTTGAGTGGAAATGGAGCCAGTGATTGAGAAGCTGAGGTGAACATAGACGCACAGGTGGTGTGAGTTTTTGTCGTTGTTGTTGATTTTTTGTAGAGATGGATCTTGCCATGTTGCCCAGGCTGGCCTTGAACTCCTAGGCTCAAGCCATTTGCCTGCCTCTGCCTCCCAAAGTGTGGGGATTACAGGTGTGAGCCACCATGCTCGGCATAGATGATAGTTTTAATATAGATGCCTTTAACCTACTAAGCCAAAATCTCTGAGAGTGGATCATCAAGTTTGTAAGTTTTTATTTATTTATTTATGCCTTTAAACCACATTCTGAAAGCAAAATTTTTGTGTTTTTAAAAGTTATCTTCATGTTAAGGAATATTTATTACAATATTACATATAATTAAAAAAATCTGTGGCTGAGCACGGTGGCTCACACATGTTTACCCCAGCACTTTGGGAGGTCAAGGCGGGTGGATCACAAGATTTGGAGATCGAGACCGTCCTGGCCAGCATGGTGAAACTTCGTTTCTACTAAAATACAAAACATTAGCCAGGCATGGTGGTGTGCATCTGTATTCCCAGCTACTCAAGAGGCTGAGGCAGGGGAATCACTTGAATCTGGGAGGTGGAGGTTATAGAGAGCCAAGATCGCGCCACTGCACTTTAGCCTGGCAACAGAGGAAGACTATGTCTCAAAAAAAAAAAAAAAAAAAAAAAAAGATTAAGAGTTTCTCCAGAGGAAGTGGATGAATACAGTGGAATAGAATTCAGATGTTTAAATCAATGAAATAAGGCTACATGTATAAACATGAATAAATCTAAAAAAATTTTTTTTGGTAAAAGGAAATTGCAGAGGATATATGAGATATAGTACCATTTACTTAACATTTTAAAGAATCCTGTGTGTAATGGAAACATGCATATATAGTAAAAGAATAAAGACCTGGATAGGAATGATAAACACTAAGTCTGACTAATGGTTGACTTTGAGAGGGATTAAGGGAAGGGATGGGAGCTTTAACTGTCCTTCATATTTTATTTCTTAAGAAAAAGAAAGCAAGAAAAGCAAAAAAAAAAAAAAAAAAAAAAAAAAAAAAAGTAAGGTTGCAGTAGCAAACATGTAAAAATAAGACTTTAAAATTTTTTATTTAAAATTTTTTCTTTATTTTTAAAAAATTTTATTTACTTATTTCTTTTTGAGACAGAATTTCACTCTGTTACCCAGGCTGGAGTGCAGTAGCATGATCTTGGCTCACTGCAACCTCTGCCTTCTAGGTTCAAGCAATTCTCCTGCCTCAGCCTTGTGAGTAGCTGGGACTATAGGCATGCAACATCGCGCCCAACTAATTTTTGTATTTTTAGTAGAGATGGGGTTTCATCATCTTGGCCAGGCCAGTCTCGAACTCCTGACCTCAAGTGATCCGCCCGCCTTGGCCTCCCAAAGTGCTAGGATTACACGCCTGAGCCACCGTGCAACCCCGGCTAATTTTTTTTTTTCTTTTCTTTAAAGACAAGTTCTCACTCCATCGCCTGGGCTGGAGTGCAGTGGTGCAGTCATGGTTCACTATAGCCTTGACCTACTGGGCTCAAGGAAGCTTCCTGCCTCACCCTCCCAAGTAGCTAGGATTACAGGCATGTACCACCACCATGTCTGGCTAATTTTTGTGTTTTTTGTAGAGACTGCATCTTACTATGTTGCCCAGGCTGGTTTCAAATTCCTGGGCTCAAGTGATCCTCTTGCCTCAGCCTCTCAAAGTACTGGGATTACAGACATGAGCCACCTCTCCCAGCCCCAGTTTTTTTTTTTTTTTTTTTTTTTTTTAAAGGAATGACTACATAATTGTTCATGATATGTATAATCTTTCTGAATGCTTAAAAGATTTCATTATGAAATGACTAACCCAAATTCCCCTGGTAATTGCAATGCAGGCAGTTGGTATGTGGCCTTAAGTACTCCGAATTCTGAACCTTCCAGTTTGAAATGTATTTGTACTCAGAGAGCTCTCACTTGGACCCCCTCTCTTGTTCTCACAGACAATCATGCCTATTAGGACATGCCCAAGTCCTGTAGCTTCCCTGCAGTCTGTCCTGAGGAAATGCCACGTCCCGTGTTGGTGATGTGAGTGGATTTTACAGTTCTAATTCGTTAGGGACCTAGCCTGCAAGGGCCTCCTCTCTGCTGTCTGCTTTTCTCCTTTACTAGAGGAAGCATCCTGCCCTACAGCTAGCTTGATCTTAGAGTTCCCGGGGCACCTCCCACCTTCCCTTCCGGTGTTCGTTTTCATAACACTTTCACTGACACTTCAGTTTGGTCGTGGGACTTAGGTGTTTGTGTGAATCCCAAAAATTTCATTGCCTACCCTAAGCCTTATTATTTGTAATCATTCTTTTATTGCTGCATCTGCTTTCTTAACTTCCTTTCTATACCAGAAGTGTCACTAAAGTTTAATTAATGAGGATGACGCCTGTTGGTCTGTGATTCAGAGAATGCTAAGAAGGCTGATATGTCTCTAATAGCTGGTACCAAAGTGGGTTTTACATTTTCATTTTATTTTATTTTTTATTTTATTTTTATTTTTATTTTATTTTATTTTATTTATTTATTATTTTTTTTTTGAGACAGAGCCTTGCACTGTAGCTCAGGCTGGAGTGCAGTGGTATGATCTCGGCTCACTGCCACCTCTGCCCTTTTGGGTTCAAGTGATTCTCCTGCCTCAGCCTCCCGAGTAGCTGGAATTACAGGCACCTGCCACCTTGCCCAGCTAATTTTTTGGTGTTTTTAGTGGAGATTGGGGTTTCATTATGTTTGTCAGACTGGTCTCAAACTCCTGACCTCGTGATCTGCCTGCCTCAGCCTCCCAAAGTGCTGTGATTACAGGCATAACCCACAGCACCTGGCCTTATTTTATATTATTATTATTTCTAATATAGTCAGTAGTAGTGATTCTAAACTATGGGTGATTTTTTTTCAGCTACAGACATTTGGACAGTGTCTGGAAATAATTTTGGTTTCACACTGGGGGAGTGCTCTAGTGGGTGGAGGCCGGGAATGCTGCTAAATAGCCTGCAATGCACAAGACAGTGCCCCTGCCCCTGCCCTTCACAATGGATTAAATGTTATCAGTGCCAAGGTTGAGAAACCCTGCTCCAAAGATCCTCATACCATGAATATAGTCCTATCAAGGAGGGAGAGTAAATGGGGCTGCAGCGCATTTAGCATGGGACAGTGTCACAAGGATTGGGACTCCCAGGGAATTTATATGGATTAGTCCTATTTCCTAGCTGTTTGGCTAGTCCAAACAGCTTCAATGATGGTCCAAATCATGGTGGAGTCTGGAACGTTCATGATATTAGAGATAAAGGATGGGAGGATATTAAGGAAAAACCAGAGCGGAACGAAGTCCAGGCCATGGAGAAGCCACCTCTAGTGTTTTTGAGCATGGCACCTTAGTATAAACTACACCTTCATGCTATTAGAAATGGAGGAGAGCTTATTTAAAAATGTTAACTTGATCAGTGCAAAATGTGGTAGGTCATGACAGCAAGGACCCCCGGTGAATCATGCCTCTTCCACCATCCACATTCATCTGCATTGTGATGCTGCCATTCAGCTCATCAGGTGGTGGAGTCTGTTTTCCTGCCCCATGGGTGTGGGCTGGCCTTGTCCCTTGCCTTGACCAAAAGAATGTGGAAGGTGTAATGGCACGTGATGTCTGGGCCATTCAGCTTTGGTTTTTCTCCCTCATGGAAGATTTCTGCCATCATGGGAGGAAGCCCAGCCTGATCTGCCCTTTGGAGAAAGAGGCCCAGGTGTCCAGGGGTCCCAGCCAGCCTTCCCGCTGGTGTGCTGTGTCAGGGAACCCAGATGCAATCAGTTCACCCACCCAACCCAACCGACTGAGGAGTGAGAAGTAATGCATTAATATTATGATTACCTTCAGCCACTAAATTTTGGGGTGGTTTTCTACACAGCATGAGGTAACTGGACATTGTCTAGGAGGAGCTTCATATCGAGCAATGGATGAGGTATTTGCCGTAGAATATGTGCGTAGGGTAACTATCACATCATGGTTAAGAGAAACTGAGTTCTTCCTCCTTTGTCTCTTGTAGCACTTCTCAGAACTTCTGGATGAGTTTTCCCAGAACGTCTTGGGTCAGCTCCTGAATGACCCTTTCCTCTCGGAGAAGAGTGTGTCAATGGAGGTGGAACCTTCCCCGACGTCCCCGGCACCTCTCATCCAGGCTGAGCACAGCTACTCCCTGTGCGAGGAGGCTCGGGCCCAGTCGCCCTTCACCCACATTACCACCAGTGACAGCTTCAATGACGGTAAACTCAGAGCAGGAGGATGCCTGGACCTTAGCGCCTTTGGTTCTGAGCTCTTGAGGGTGTGGGGTGTGAATTACATTAAAGAGGATGTTGGCACCCTCATTAGCGACACACCTGCAGTGTGTAGGGCCTGATGCTGGGGCTGTGGGGAAAAGCAGAGGCACAGGACTCATCTTTCCACACCGCCCAGGTCCCTTGGGAACTTGCTGTAACTGAAGTCATTTTTGGATGGTCATTACTCTCTTTCACCCTGTGGCTTCAGCAGCAGAGCAGCCTTTTGCAAAATTGGCCAGTCTATGTGACTGGTCATTCCTGCCAATAGAGTAAGTCCATTATTTCAAGGGGTCATGGCATTTTTTTTTTCTGAGAAATAATTTTTCTGACCATTCTTCTATAGGAGCTTCTTGGGCATCCAAGCATCCAACCCACTTCCAGCATATTCCACTGACCCCATGTCCCCCACCCCAGATCACAGTGGACATTCCTAGACTTTCTTGTTGGTTACCCTTTCATACCCATCGTCAATGCCATGAGTTCGGTATTTGTTGAAGATTGAGTTTTTCTGGCCTTAGAGATGTTAAGATGTTTTGACCGTTACTCTACAGCTCTTAATTGGCAAAGGCTGTATCTTGTTCCAAATTCTCCAGGCTTATACGTCTTTTAAGTGCAATTTCTGCCTCCCTTCCTTCCTTCCTTCCTTCCTCCCTTTTTTCCTTTCTTTCTTCCCCTCTCTCCCTCTCTCTTCTTTCTCTTTCTTTCCTTTCTTCCTTCTTTCCTTCCATTCTTCCTTCCTTCCTTCTTTCCTTCCTTCCCTCCCTCCCTCCCTTTTTCTTTCTTTCTCTCTTTTCTTTATTCTTATCTGCTCTTTCTCTCTCTCCCTTCCTCCTTCCCTCCCTCCCTTTCCTTCTTTCTTTTTTCTTTCTTTCTTTCCTTTCTCTTTCCTTCCTCCCTTTCTCCCTTTCTTCCTTCTCTCTCTTTCTTTTCTGTCTTTCTCTTTCTTTCCTTCCTTCCCTCCCTCTCTCCCTCCCTCCCTTCTCTCCTCCCTCCCTTCCTTCCTTCCCTTTTCTTTCTCTCTTTCTTTTCCACCCTCTCTCTCTCCCTTCTTCCTTCCCTCCCTCCCTACTCCTCCCTCTCTCCCTCCTTCCTTCTTTCTCTCTTTTCTTTTCTTTCCCTCCCTTCCATCCTTCATTTTCTCTCCTTCCTTCCTCCATTCCTTGTTTCCTTCCCTCATTTTTAGACAGGGTCTCACTCTGTCATCCAGACCAGAGTGCAGTGGCGTGATCTCAGCTCACTGTAGCCTTGACTTCCGGGGCTCTCACATAGTCCTCCAGCCTCAGCCTCCCAAGTAGCTGGGACGACAGGCATATGCCACCGCACCTGGCTAATTTTTAATTTTTTTGTAGAGATTGGGGTCTCACTCTGTTGCCCAGGTTGGTTTCAAACTCCTGGGCTGAAGTGATCTTTCCGCCCTAGCCTCATCAAGTGCTGGGATTACAGGCATGAGCCACCATGCCCAACTTTAAATTTAATTTTTTATGTTTTCTTAGAGGGATAACCAGCTATTTTAATACTTTAAATTTTAAAAATGATGTTTCCTATTCCCAGTCCAGCATATGCCTTCTTCTTTACAGAAGGATGACATGGTGAGGAATGCTCACTAACTTGACCTTCTTGGGTTTTGACCCGAGTGTTCACTTCTTGTCCTTACACCACTGTACATATGGCAGCATCTCCTGAAGGTGGCTGCCTACAGAGCAAGTCTCCTCCTGCTTTCCCTTGGTTAAAGGCAAATGCTTGTATCAATGCCCTGAATCAGGCATTAGCTTTGTGGAGGAACCCCTCCTCCAATGGGATTCTTAGATCCATTACTAGTCTCAAAAAGAATCACCTCTGCGACCAGTAAAACGTCTTATCTTGGGACAGAGAATGTTCTGGGTTTTAAAATGTTTCGTCTCAGATACATTCTTCCTTTGAATAGATCTACACTAATCAGCAGACCAAGAAATGTGGCCCTATATCCTGTAAAAGGAATCCCTTCAATCCGTTAGTGGATTCTTTGTTGGGTGGACCTTGTTATAGCCTTAACCATATGCTCAGATTTGTTTTTTTCCTGATGAGAGTTTAAGTGCATAATGCCTTAATCCTTCTTCTCTGTAGTTTGTCAAGTTTCTCTACCTAAAATCTGGAGAATAGGGTGAGGGGAAGCCTTCTGGGAAGGAGGGTGTATTAGTCCATTTTCATGCTGCTGATAAAGACGTACCCATAACTGGGTAATTTATAAAGAAAAAGAGGTTTAATGGATTCACAGTTCCACGTGGCTGGGGAGGCCTCACAATCACGGTGGAAGGTGAAAGGCACATCTTACATGGCAGCAGGGGAATGAGAGCCAAGTGAAAAGGGAAACCCCTTGTAAAACCATCAGATCTCGTGAGACTTATTCACTACCAGGAGAACAGTGTGGGGGAAACTACCCCATGATTCAGTTATCTCCCACCGGGTCCCTCCCACAACATGTGGAAATTTGGGGAGCTACACAGTTCAAGATGAGATTTGGGTGGGGACATAGTCAAACCATGTCACAGGGGAAGAAACAGGACTAAAATAATTCAGTGATAAGGAGTTATTGTGAAGGTAAAATGAGATATGTTTAACGAACTTAGGACAATGTCTGTCTACTGCATAGCATTTTAATTAACCAGTTTCTTCTTCCAATCTGCTGCATCCGTTTCTTTCTGTTTTTGTTGTTTGTTTTCTTTTCCTCCTTATTCTTTTCCTCCTTTGCGTCTGTTTCTTCTCCCTTTCCTCTTTCTCTCTCTCTTTTTTTTTTAAGATGGAGTTTTGCTTTTGTTGCCTAGGCTGGAGTGCAATGGCACGATCTTGGCTCACTGCAAGATTGTGAGCCTAGAAGGCTCCGCCTTCTAGGTTCAAGTGATTCTCCTGCCTCAGCCTCCCAAGTAGCTAGGATTACAGGCATGTGCCAACAGACCTGGCTAATTTTGTATTTTTAGTAGAAACAGGGTTTCATCATGTTGACCAGGCTGGTCTTGAACTCCCAACCTCAGATGATCCACCACCTCAGCCTCTCAAAATACTGCAATTACAGGCATAAGCCACTGCACCTGGTCTTTTCCTTTTCTTTATATTGATACATAATAGATATATTTTCAGGGTACGTGTGATAATTTGATGCTTTCATATAATGTGCAAAGATCAAACCAAGGTCATTGGGATATCTATCACCATAAACATTTATCTTTATGCTAAGAATATCCTAATTATTCTCTTCTCGCTATTCTGAAATGTACAATAGATTGATGTTGTACATCAGTAGGATTACCTCTGGCCATCCGACTGATCTGTCAAATACTAGGCCTTATTTTTTCTAACTGTATCCTCCTTCTTCTATCTCCTTCTGCTCTTCCTTCAATTTCTTATTTAAATTACTTTCAGAATTGACCTTGGTTCAGATGATGTCTCTTGTGACTAAATTTATTCATGATCTGTATCACTACATGGAGCAATATAGGAAGCCAGTGTCTTTCTGGGACTCAGCTTAGATAAATGCATGCAATTTTTGTCTTAGTTTTATTACGTTAAGAGTGGACTTTAACATCAGATGAGCAGTTGAACTAAATGACTGTGAAGATTTCTCCCAATCCTGAGGTTCTGTGTGGTGATGGTTCTTTATGACATTTGTACTTGCCTTTGCCCATGGTTTTTCCCCATTCTTGCTCTACTGCTTTGCCTATATTATTCCCACGATTCCTATGATGCCTCTATTCCAAGCTCTACTTCCTTCGTAGAAGTCATTCCCAATACTTCTTGTATTAGTTATCTATTGCTGTGCAACAAATCTCCCCGAAAATTAATGACTTAACACAAGATTACTCATTTATTACTTCTCATGATTTCTATGGATAAGCACTTCAGGGGTGGTTCACCTGTGTAGTTTTGGTTCAGGTCCCTCATGAGGCTGAAATCACGTGTTGGCTTAGGCTGCCATCATTAAAGACTTTTCCGGGGTTAAAGGATCTACTTCCAAGGTGGCTCACTGATGTAGCTGGGAAATCAATGCTGGTGAACTGGCTGCTTTCCAGGTAGGCCTCTCTGCAGGGCTGCTTGAGTGTCACCGCAGCATGGCCACCGGCTTCCCCGAGTGAAAGCTGATCCACTATAATGTCATTCTGACCCAGCCTTGAAAGCTATTCTGTTGGTCGCACAAGGCAGGACTGATACCAGGAGGTGAGGGCCACTGGGGGCCATCTTGGAAGCTGACTGCCACACCTCTCCTCACAGTGATGTCTGTAAAATGATGGTTTTTAAAAAGTCTCTACTGCTTTATCCCGTGTTCTCAGTGCCTTACAGTGTTGCCATTCATTCATTGAGTGTTTCTTGAGTTCATGCAAGGCGCTGAAGGAAACACCCGCTTATCTGCAGAGGATATGCTCTGTCATTCCACACTCTATGTCCATGTGTACACATTATGTAGCTCCCACTTATAAGGGAGAACATATGGTATTTTTCTTTCTGTGTCACTTAAGATAATGGTCTCCAGTTCCATCTGCGTTGCTGCAAAAGACATGGTTTTATTTTTAATGGATTAATAGTATTCCATTGTGTATACATACCACATTTTCTTTATCCCGTCATCTGTTGATGAAGCATTTAGGTTGGTTTCATATCTCCTCTATTGTGGATAGTGCCACAATAAACATACCAGTACAACTGTCTTTTTGATATAACAATTTCTTTTCCTTTGGATAGATACCTAGTAGTGGGATTGCTGGATCAAATGGCTATTTTATTTTTCATTCTTTGAGAAATCTCCATACAGATTTCCATAGAGATTGTATTAATTTACATTCCCACCAACAGTGTATAAAGTTTTGCTTTTTTCGATATCCTCGCCAACATCTGTTATTTCTTGTCTTTTGAATAATAGCCATTCTGGCTGCTATAAGATGATATCTCGTTGTAGTTTTAATTTGCATTCCTCTGAT